CTCGTATTTGAACGAACTCGTCCTTGGGCGTTTGACCCAGACTCACCAGAATTATTCTGTATCATCTAGACAAGTGCGACATTAAAAGTTGTTAAAAGCTTTTTAAAAGATCAAACGGTGTTGCCGTGGCAACGGTGCAAATTTCAGGTTAGTTTTTTGGGGCTCGCCACCAAATTTCGACGAGTGATAATTTGCACAAACTTTGTCCGATTTCACTCAAACTTTAATCGTTGGTGGACACCCCGACCCTGAACAGATTTATATAATAAAATCTCAAATGGATGCAATAGCGCCCCCTAGGGAGATTGTATGGAACAAAAAATTTTACTTTTTTGTAGACATGTAAAATTTGGTACACACATTTGTGACCTGGTCTTGATGAAAAAAGTCAGTTACACCCACACTCCATCTCCCATCGTGTTACCATGGCAATAAGCCAAAAATCTGTTCCCGCCAATAGGACGTCCAACAAAAACTTTGACATACTCAAACCAAATTTGGTGCACAGATGCATCGTGGGAATAGGAACAAAAAAGTATATTGTGACCACGCCCCCCTCCCAAACAGTAAGTCCGCCATCTTGGATTAAAAAAAAAAAAATCAACACATACAGAAGCTGAGGAAAAAGGGGTAGGGTTGGGTTAAGATTAGGGGGTAGGGGTAGGTTAGGGGTAAGGCTAGGGTTCAAGGGTTCGGGTTTGGGTTAGGGGCTAGGGTTAAGTTTAGGCCTAGGGTTAGGGTTACAGGTAGGAGTTTGTGTAAGGGGGTTTGGGTTAATTTAGGAGTTAGGGGAAGGGGTAAGGTGCATTCGTGGCCGAGGTGCAGCGTGGCGTAGGCACGAGCGAGGGCCGATCATCGCTGCTTGCGGCTATATTTGCAACTGTTTTTTGTGTTCATCGTTTGACAGACAAAACAACAAAGGAAAAGGTTAAATTAGGCACTGTTTAACTCAGGGAGTGAGAGCTGAGCAGGTTATAGTCACCACCTCTGACTCTGTCTGTTCACCACAGACTTTTACTGTGGGGCTCCAGGGAGAGTCTGGGAAGAGGAAAAACATTTGGGACATTAATCTAAAAAATGTATTAAAGTGAAGAACTAAGCTGATGCTGCTCAGATGTGAATGGAGGTTATTTACTGTGCACAGTCCAAGAGTGAAAATGTCATTCAAGCATCAAACTTGTGTCGTTTATAACAGGTGTGTTACAACCTGATGATGAAACAAACGGGGAAAAGCAGTTTGTTCCCTTAAATATAAATGTGTCAACAAAATACAGTTTGTTATTCAGAGATGAACATTTATAAACAAAAACTGGATGCGACTGAATGCAAATCCTAAACAGCTTCACACACAGAATATAACAATACAAACCTGATTGTGCATTAAAAAAAAACAAAAAAACAATAGCCTTTTCAACTGGCCGTGGTTTTCCAGGAACTATTTTGTCCCTTTGCAAATGATTTACTTTATAACAAATAAAAACATAATAGTTGACCTTTTGTCCTGAGGAAGATGTTACAGATCAATAATAACAGTTTGTTTCTCACACATATCAGTGTGCTGAATAAATGTCTGTTGTAAATGTTTTTCATCTGCACTGTGTCTTCACTGTGTCTTGTTTCTCTACATCAGAGTGAGTTGCTGGTGAAGGGTCTATTAGTATCACAAAGCGATGCTCCAAGTGGCCAAAAAATGAACTGGTGCGACGTGACTCTCCCGTAGTGACCAGGGACTCTCGCCGTGATGTAGCAATGCACCAGAGGTTTCCGAAAATGTAAAGTTTGTCGGCCAAAAAAAAGCAGAACATTGTTCTCGTATCAGAATATCATTAGGCCCGATCCCCGACAGGACGTAGGGCCTATTGCTTCCACTACGAGGAGCGAATGGGGAGCGACGTGCGCATGTCCGAATGCGACAGGACGACATGCAGCTTTGTCCTCTGTCGCCCCCGACACGAACAGCAGTATCCCAGTAACCCACACCCAAGGCCTGAGCCATATTTACTACTGCTAAAATGAATGGAAGTCAGTGGGAGGTCAGAGGGCGAAGTCGATCACGACAAGACAAGAAAAAATATAATTACGCCAACACCGTGTGCTCCACCAGGGGGCAGTAATATTGGATTAAATTTCTCTAAGCTTTTACGAACTCCTCCGAGGGCGTTCACCCGAACGAGCTCAAATTTGGTCCACATCATCTCAAGACGTGGAACATCAAAACTTATCCACATTTTTCACACACGTCTTACGATCTCTGAACAGTGAAGCAACAAAAAATGCTGATTTAAAAATTGCTCCAACAAACTCCAATTTCAATGAAATTTGAAACAGTTAAACTCTCTGTCCTGAAGCTACTTAATGTGAAAATTATTAATTTGGTGCATTAACGCCCCCTATAGATTGAAACAAAATTTAATATGTGAGAAAATAATTTGTTCCCAAATAGTTGTTCAAAAATTTCTGAAATTTTGCACAAAATTCCATTTTGACATCCTGATCCAAAAGTCAATGACACATGTCACGTCTGCAGACACAGACTCACAAAAATGTTGCAAACCGGTGAAAAACTCCTTCATTTCCTGTTTCTTGGGTGACGTGTCACGGTCACAGACGCTGGTCTGCAGAACTCAAATTCAAATCACAATTGTGTGATTCAGGCCTGAATGTGATGAAATATGAAATCTAATAAAAGTGAACTCTAGAGCGCCCCCTAGCATAGACATGAAACCTCAACAATATCGGATTTTTAACAAACTTCGATGATTAAATTCTATGCATGAATACAAGTACAGTTGGCCAGCAGGGGGCGCAATGACTACTAAAAAACATTTAAAGGTACACTATGTAACTTTTCTGGTGGACGAGCTGTCGGTCTGGGCAGATGTCGGGAAGAGACAGTGATGCACCGGGGCGCGAGTCCTCGGCGATAACGTGGGACGTTGTATTTATGTCTTTTATTTCTTTCTTTTCTTTTCATCGTTCATTTTTTTCTCTTTAAATTGTTCTTTTTTTTTTCAAGCTGCTTCCTCAGTGCAGAGACGATGTGACCACCAGAGGGCAGTGTCACAAACATCACCTGACCCGAGCTCACACTGCTCCAGTCTGTGAAGAGTGCACTGCTCCCTACTATTCACATGTTTATGCTGCTCTCCTGAAACCTGAGCTGATCCGTAAAGTTAAACTGCCACTGTCCAGACTCAGGAAACACGAAGGAAGAAGAAGAAGACGAAGATTCTGTCAGACAAGAATAAAACCAGATTCTGCACAGGACAAAATTAGATCTAAACCAGGACTAAACCAGGACTAAACCAGGACTAAACCAGGTCTAAACCAGGTCTAAACCAGGACTAAACCAGGTCTAAACCAGGTCTAAACCAGGTCTAAACCAGGACTAAGGCAGGACTAAACCAGGTCTAAACTAAGTCTAAACCAGGTCTAAACCAGGTCTAAACCAGTACTAAACCAGGTCTAAACCAGGTCTAAACCAGGACTAAACCAGGTCTAAACTAAGTCTAAACCAGGTCTAAACCAGGACTAAACCAGGACTAAACCAGGACTAAACCAGGTCTAAACCAGGACTAAACCAGGTCTAAACCAGGACTAAACCAGGACTAAACTAAACCAGGTCTAAACCAGGTCTAAACCAGGACTAAACCAGGTCTAAACCAGGACTAAACCAGGTCTAAACCAGGTCTAAACTAGGTCTAAAGCAGGACTAAACCAGGACTAAACCAGGACTAAACCAGGTCTAAACCAGTACTAAACCAGGTCTAAACCAGGTCTAAACCAGTACTAAACCAGGTCTAAACCAGGTCTAAACCAGGTCTAAACCAGGTCTAAACCAGGACTATACTAGGTCTAAACCAGGTCTAAACCAGGACTAAACCAGGACTAAACCAGGTCTAAACCAGGACTAAACCAGGACTATACTAGGTCTAATTCAAGACTAAATCAGTTTGGAGGAAGATGAAGTTGTGTTCAGTCTGTTTCTTTAAACAGTGAATTGTTGCCATCTGCTGTTGGAAGAACGAAACTACAGGTAAAACTCCACATGTCCCGGGTCTGATCCGAGTTTTACTGTGAACACAGCGGCGGGGAAGAATATTTTGAAAATGTTTTTAGTTAAAATATGTAAAATACTAAACGCCTCACTGTTTTAATGCCACTCAGACTATTAATAATATTGATAATTCCACCATGATTCACAACTAAGAACACTCTGGAACAGTCTGAAACTTCATACTTTCAAAATAATGCATTTATTGATTCATTCTAAATAAAACAGGCTCAGCAGGTTTTTAGGATAATGTGTTTAGAGCCGACACACTGACATGGAAACTTACACTTCATGATCATGTTATTTGCAGCAAAACCTCAAGTGTGTGACACAATATGTGTATAAAATGTGTGTAAATGTACAAATAAATTAATTTCTGTGCATCGTCTGCACATAAGATCCGGCTCTGAGTCTGTTCTGTGGTCTGAGAACTCTTCCACACTGACTTGAGTCTTTACACTGTAAAAAACTATGTGGGATTAAATTTGATATTTTGATATTTGTGTCCTGCATTTATCTCTATTTAAAGATACAGTGTGTAACTTTCTTACTTACCTGCTTGACTCCATGGAAATAGAAACTTCAGAACATTCTCCATGGACACAGATATGTTTTAAGCCAGACTGCGGAATATTAGAGCAAAGGAACATTTCCATGGAAACAAGCAGGAGGAAACCCAGCTCCACCTTAACCGCTCTGTAGTCTCTGTGGTGCAGCTCCACCGTGGGCCCCTCTCTTCTGGTCTCTGTGGTGCAGCTCCACCCTGGGCCCCTGTATAGTCTCTGTGGTGCAGCTCCAGTGTGGGCCCCTCTGTTTTGGTCTCTGTGGCGCAGCTCCACCGTGGGCCCCTGTTCTGGTCTCTGTGGCGCAGCTCCGCCGTGGGCCCCTGTTCTGGTCTCTGTGGCGCAGCTCCACCGTGGGCCCCTGTTTGGTCTCTGTGGCGCAGCTCCGCCGTGGGCCTCTGTAGTTTTATCTGCGTGTTCTCGGTTCAGAAAAGGAAATGGTTTTTCGTTCTGTTTCCCTCCATCACTTCCTCACCTCTGCGACGAAGACGAGCTCCTGCACCCGGTGAGAGCAGCTCCGTTCTGCGCTTATTCTCATTTAAACTTTAGTTTAACTTTATGTTTTATTTATTTATTTATTTATTCATTTGATAATCACAGAACCCAGGAGCTGAAAGAGACTCAGGTCTGATGAAAAACTGGTGAAAGTCTGGTCCTGGTTTAGTTCTGGTCTAGACTAGATTCAGTTCCTGCTTTTTCTCTGGACGACTTTCTTTTTGGTTTCCTCCAGGTTTAGACCTGCTTTAGAACTAGACTGGATTAGACCTGTTTTAGACCAGGTTTAGTTCTAGTTTAGTCCTAGTTTAGACCAGGTTTAGTTCTGGTTTAGACCAGGTTTAGTCCTAGTTTAGACCAGGTTTAGTCCTAGTTTAGACCAGGTTTAGTCCTAGTTTAGACCAGGTTTAGTTCTAGTTTAGACCAGGTTTAGTTCTAGTTTAGTTTAGACCAGGTTTAGTCCTAGTTTAGACCAGGTTTAGTCCTAGTTTAGACCAGGTTTAGTTCTTCTTTGGTCCTAGTTTAGACCAGGTTTAGTTCTAGTTTAGACCAGGTTTAGTTCTAGTTTAGACCAGGTTTAGTCCTAGTTTAGACCAGGTTTAGTCCTAGTTTAGACCAGGTTTAGTTCTTCTTTGGTCCTAGTTTAGACCAGGTTTAGTTCTAGTTTAGACCAGGTTTAGTTCTAGTTTAGACCAGGTTTAGTCCTAGTTTAGACCAGGTTTAGTTCTTCTTTGGTCCTAGTTTAGACCAGGTTTAGTTCTAGTTTAGACCAGGTTTTAGTTCTGGTTTAGTCCTAGTTTAGACCAGGTTTAGTTCTGGTTTAAATTCACAAACTTCAGTCATTCAGATTGTGTTTTTACTTTTACATTTTGTGCATTTTTAACACGAACAAAGTGTTTTCAGACACATTTTCTATCATTTAATAATATTTTCTCTGGGGCAGAAACACGAGGCGACTTCGGGTTTTTGGATCCGTCCCGTTCACTTTGACTTAAACAAACGTCAGTATTTTCAACAGTTCTTTGTTTCTGGATGATGTCGTGTCGTGTCTCACACTCGACAGCTCGACACTCGACACTCGACACTCGTTCAGTCCTGGTTTGGGTTCTGTGTTCTGGTTTTGAGTCAGAGATCGTTCTAGTTTAACTCTGACAAACAAAACTTTTAAATGAGCTGAAACTATAAAAAGAATCACTTAAGATATTAAACAAAAAGTGACACTAACGACAAAAACACAATCAAATATACAGGTTTCATTTTGAATTTTAAGTTTTTATCATCTCACTCCACGCCCTTTAAACAAGTTTGTGAAAAATATAAAACTCAAATCAGACAAAAGCAGCTCTAGAGGCGACGCTCTGTGACGTTTAGGAAAAAGTCTTTTGCTTCAGGAGCAGGAAACACAGAGCAGCTCCTTATGAGAGTTTCACACTGCAGCGTTTTCTAAAACTTTAAACAGTTTCACCAAATGACATTTTTTATATTGAGGGATTGTTGTTTAACTCTTTAACTCTTGACTGGACTTTACATATTTATATTTTAAATGTTCATAAATATGTGTTTTCCCTTTACAAATAAATAAATAAGAATAAGAATAAAAACCCATCAGTCGTTTTCAGATTCTAGAATTATACTGTCGTCGTTTCCCAGACGGAGGAGAGTTTTTCCTGTTGGTCACATTGTATTTTCCATTAAATATCCAGAAGATAAAATCACAAAAGTTGAACCTGATCATTATTATTGATCACTAGACACAGAAATGTTTTGTGGTGTGTCCAAAATCTCCATTTCAACAATATTTATTTTATGGCAAAGGAGAAATTCAAGTTTGTCGACTGGACAAACGTTTGTTTAAGTTGAAAACGTTTCGCAGCTCGTCCAAGCTGCTCGGGGAAAACGTTTTCCACCTAAATAAACTTTTGTCCAGTTGAAAAACGGAATTTCTCCTTTTCCATAGAATCGACGACTGACAGATTCTACACAAGATTTATTTGTCCTGCCCCCGACTGTGAAGAGATAAAATCTGAAACCAACAACAGATGAAAAATCACCAGACCATAAACAGATCAAAGAATAAATGTGTTTATTATTAAATATATAAAATACAGTCACACAGGACAAAAGATGTAAACACATAAACACATTACCTGAAGATGCTGCTGCGCTGGACACTTCACTGTGTGTGGACACAACGGAGACACGGGTCCAACTCTGTCCTCCCTGAGACACAGACACACGTGGACATGTGGACATGTGGACATATGGACATATGGACATGCTCCAGCTGCACCGGAAACACCAGCAGAGTCACGTGACTCGTTGAGACATTTTTAATTGTCATCTGTGCCGAGGCCCCAGCGCGTATCACAGTGACTCCATCGGCCCCGGCGCCACCGCGGTTTATTTTTACTCCAGAACAAGAACTGCAGCTGTTTGTGTCTGTGACAGGGCGCGCGCTGCCTCCACGAGGAGAAACTGAGTCTGTGTCTGTGTTCACGCGAGAACTGCGGCTCCGCAGCATCTTCTGCACACTGATGAAGAGCCTTTGTCCCGGACAAAGTGCTGTTTGTGCCGCTGTTTTCCACTCAACCCCGCGGCTGAACATTCCGCACGCGGAACAGACCCGCGGACAGTCGGGGACAGTCGGGGACAGTCGGGGACAGTTGTCTGCAGCTGCTGCCCGCGGGAGGGGTGGGGGGAGGTGGGGGAGGGGGCTGCACCTGCTCCGGCTCAGGCCTGGACTCGCTCCTGTCGCCCTCATGATCCTTGAGCCTGTGTCGTGTTGAAACAGCCTCGTGCGTCAGGAGGAAGATTTACATCTGACCACAAACGGCCACAACAGAAACAACAGAAGCAGAAACAGAAGCGGCTCTTGTGTCCTGACCCCGGGAGGAGGCGCGGGCCCCGGGAGGAGGCGCGGCCCCGGGAGGAGGCGCGGGCCCCGGGAGGAGACGTGCTTCTGTGTCCTGGAGATCCGCGGGCGGCTGCTCTTCGTGTGGCGGGGGGAGGAGGCTCTGTGCGCGGCTGTGGACAGAGAGACTGTCCCTCTGTGTGAGTGTTTGTGGAACAGAGACTGAGGATCCTCCGCTCTGCGCCTCTGCGGCAAAAACAGCGCGTCCTCCGCAGTTCCAGCTCAGTTTGAGTCTAAACCCGCTCCTGTGCTTCGGAACACGCCTCCTCACGGACACAAACACGATATTTATTCATTTTTATCAACATTTGATCTCATTTTGTTGACATTTTAAACGCCTCTTCTCCATAAACACACAGATTGTCCGCGCAGCCGCGTTACCGTCGCGTCCTTTAAACTCGGGTCTGAAGCGGATCTCCGCGGCTCTGCGGGCCCCAGAGCCGTGTCCTGTCCCGGCTCTGGTCCTGTCCTGTCCCCGCTGTAGTGATGAGCTCAGTGGAGGAGCACAGTGCGTCTGTGCGCGAGATGGAGCCGTGGAGCCGGTGCGCGCAGCTCTGGGCAGTGGCACATTGGGGCTGCGCGCTGCGTTTTGATTGGCTGTGAGCGCGTTTCCACGGGACTACCGGGTGGACCGACACATGTACAGTGTGCAGGGGATGTCTACTTCACACACGGACATGTTGGACTTTGTTCATGAAGAAATGGAGCGTTTAAGGCGCCATTTTTATTCAATATGTCTATTTTAGCCATAGGGGCCTTTTCTTACTTTTGGGGCCCTTTCTGGGACCCCTGGATAATTTTTTGGTGACTTGATCACCCCTTCACAGCGAACACACTTGGACGTGTCCTTTTTTGCAGGGATTCATGGGAAGAAGAAGGAGGCCGTCGAGCTGAAGGCTTTGGAGTCGGAGCCACAGGCGCAGCTGCTCAGGAAAGGTAAGATCCAGGAGTTTTTAAAGCCTCCTGCTCGGCTCTGTGAGGAGCCCGGGGGTCCTGGGGGCCCTCTGGCCCCTCGTTAGACACCGATGGCCCGGTTTTGAGGTATATTTGCCCCGCTGTGGCCCGCTCTGGAGCAGGGTGGGTCCGGGACGGTGTGCGTCACAGAGGAACATGGAGGCACGGCAGGGGGAGCTATTCTGCGCTGTAGCGGCTCAGCGCGCGCCGTCAGGCCGCTCCAGGGTCACAGGCGACAGCAGCGAGGCCCGGGGCCCTCCGAGCTCCCGCTGCTGTCACCGGGCCGATCACAGGGAGGACTGAGGCCGCGCACCGAGCGTGCGTCCTGGGACAGTGTCCCACCTGTGGACACAGACAGAGGGACATGTTAGGACGGGCGGGTGAGGACAGGGACAGGGGACAGGGGGACAGGGGACCGGGGACCGGGCTGTGGGCTTCACTTCACACGTGACTCTGAGACTGTGCGGGACTAAAACACCGAGTCTGTGACTCGACTGAAAACATCCAAGATGGCCCCTGGAGCAGCAGGTGAACACTTCCTGCTTCTGTCCAAACATCTGTCACTTTTAAAGCACATCTGGACTGGCCCCACAGACACGCGGGCCCCTCAGTCCAGGGGCCCTCACTGTCACCGAGGGCCCCTGGACTGAGCAGACTCCGTGTGGACCTGAGAGTCCGTCACATTTAAATAAACTCTGTCCTGCAGCTCACTGACAGACAGGTGCACTGACAGGTGCACTGACAGGGCTTTAAATGGCACGCGCGTCACCGCAGCTCAGAAATGAAACTGAACAAATAAAAAAGTAAAAAAAAAAAAACACGAGGAACATTTAACTCTGAATATTTCAGTAAAACTCTTGATATAATCACGTCTGTGCGTCTTTACGCGCGGCTCTGGAGAAACTGGTGCAGACACTGAACACATGAAGTGAACTCTTATCAACACAAATGTGAGTGACGTGCGGGAGGAGCGAACAGCGCCACCTGTGGAGCACGAGGAGAACTCACGCGTGACTCAGCTGCGTCTGTGGTTTTAATCAATCAGATCAGAAAATGCAGCTTTACGCACAGAAACACAGAGTCCTGTTTTAAACTGAGGGTAATTTACTGTGAAATTACACAAACCAGGACTAAACCAGGACTAGACCAGGACCAGACCAGGACTAGACCAGGTCTAGACCTGTTCTAACCAAGGCTGCAGAACTAAACCAGATCTGAACCAGTCTAGACTCTGCAGCAGGACGAAACATATTTAAATCTCTTCATTTAAAAGTGCAGAGTTTGTTTCTGCTCGTTTCACATCACGGACTGCGCATGCGTGTGGGGCTCGTTCCCGCGGTTCTGGTTTTGTTTTTTGTCCCGGTGACCGCGCGTGTGTCTCCTCTGTCCCTCTGTCCGCTCCCGTGGCCCCCGTGCGCGCGCCAGTGCTGTCCTGGTGCTGAAACTTTCCCCCGGTCAAACTGCGCCCTCTGCTGGCTGCGCGCGCTCACGGCAGCTCTCCCGGCGCGTGTTTCGGGAGCGCGCACGGGGGGGTGAGTCAGGCGCGCGGCAGGTGGAGCTGTGGTCAGGTTAAAGCTGCGTAACGCGACGTAATGTTGTTTTTATCCACGTAAAGCCCCGGATGTTTGAGTAAACACCACAGAGATGATCCGGAGAGATGAAGCGAGTCTCCACCACAGCTCCACCCGAACACCCGAACCTGAAACATCTCCCAAACATCTCCCAAACATCTCCCAAATCCAACCAAATCCAACCGAGACCGACGTTTTCAGACGATACGACGAGATGATGTCAGAGTCTCAGATACGACAGAGACACATTTATGAACTTCACCACGAAACCTCTGAAAACTAAATTCACAAATGTTAAACCTGATTCTTTTCTGACCGTGACACAAATCTGCAGTTTAACAGTTTTCATTTTATCTGCTCCGTCTTAAATATTGTGTCTGTTCTGTTGTTTTCTCATCATAAATATATAGAATATTATTTCAAACTATTTATTTTCTTCTCTGTCGTATTAAAATGATCTTAAACTCCAGCTTCCACACATCGTCAGAGTGGGAGGGCATCTGGCACGTTTCAGGACATGTTTGAGGTGTAAACTTCAGGCTGAACAGAGACACAGAGACACAGAGACACAGAGACTCTGATTCTCCTGACGCTTTGTTTGTTTTGGTTTCAGGTGATTCCAGAGAATCTGTAGAAACCGGAACAACGTGAGGTAAGACAAACACACACACACACACACACACACACACACACACACACATACACACACACACACACACACACACACACACACACACACACACACACACTACACACAAACACACACAACACACAACACACACACACACACACACACACATACACACACCAACACACAACACACACACAACACACACAACACACACACACACACACACACACACACACACACACACACACACACACACACACACACACACACACACACACACACACACACACACACACATACACACACACACACACACACACACACACACACACACACACACTATACACACACACACACACACACACACACACACACACACACACACACACACACTACACACACACACACACACACACACACACACACACACACACACACACACACACACACACACACACTTACACACACACACACACAGTCTCGGAGCGTTTGTCCTGAGCTCTGACCCTCGTCTCTCGTGCCGCAGATCCACAGCGCCCCCTGCTGCAGACATGATGACCGAGGAGGTGCTGGAGGACAAGGAGAAGCTGAAGCAGGGGCTGGTGAAGGTTCTTCAGTGTGTGGCGACCATCTCTTCCGCCGCCGCCGTGGTGAACCCGATCTTCGGCGTGGCCGGGTCTCTGATCCGCGTGGTGCTGCACCACATCGACGACGAGGACATCCGCACGCTCAAGAGAGAGTTCGGCTCCGTGAACCGCGCCCTGGACGAAATCACCCAACAGAACCGCAGCACCCTGCACCAGATCACCAAGGAGACGGTGGACGGGCAGTACGGCCGCGTGGAGGAGAACATCAGGAACCAGTTCAGGAAGTTCATGGAGATGGTGGAGGCGCGACCCGACCAGCGCGAGCGCAAGAAGGACGACTTCGAAGACAGTTACAGCAACGACCTGGGAGACCAGAACCTCCACACGCTGTACGACGGCGTGGTGGGCACGCCAAAGCTCTTCAGCAGACCCATCCTGGAGGTCTACCTGAGGCACAGCCAGGGCGACAGGTGCACCATGGAGCGCCTGTGCACCCGCCTCACCTACCTCTTCTGCATCGGCCTCATCGCGCTCATGGGCTACGCCGCCGTCATCGGAGACGACGAGGAGGGTCTGACCGAGGAGTGGGCCGAGAAGATGGAGCACGTCCAGGAGAAGATGCAGGAGGCTCTTCGCCGCTGCCACTGACTCTCACATTCCCCTGAGGACGTCCTGCGCCGACCGCAGCCCTGCACCAGGGGGCAGAGCCGAGCGGCTGCTCCTGTCACCTCCTGTTACTGACCCGGGACTTTCACTTCTGGCTCTTCTTCGTTTGGTCTGACGACACTTTTCTGTGTCTGACCTTCATCTGTTTTCTCTTTTATATTTACGAGAAATGTTCCTCTGCACGTTCCGCCGCCTGTGCCTCAATATGTCTCTTTTTATATTTGTTATTTTTTTTTACTTCTTGTATTATATAATAAAGCTGTGCATAAAGATCAGACTTTAGTTTCTGCAGATTTTATCACCATCATGTTTAAAAGTGTGGAGTTTATTTTGTCTCGACATGATTCTCGCTGCTCGTGTCTCCGTGTGAGACGCTCGGCCTCTGTACAGACGCACTTCAATAAATCTATAAATAAATAAAAACTGTATGAAAACGCCTCAGTGTTTTTCTCTTTTCAAATGAAACGAGACAAAGGAGCGCGTTTCTCTCTGTGGACACTAGAGGGCGACATCAGACCGTTTCGTGTTTCGTGTCGTGTTTGGTGTCGTGACGTGGATCGTGGGCGTGTTCAGGACGGATCCTCTGACGCCTCAACATTTAAAAACCTGCTCAAAAGTCACAGGGTCAAACCAGGACCAGACTGAGACAAAAAACGTCTCTGGCATTTTTGGTTTAGACCAGAACGTCACAATTAACCAAACACGACCGACTAAGTGATGTTTGTGAAGGGAAATAGTAAAAAAAAACAAAAACAGTGTAAATCATTACTAATACGACCAAAAATTATTATAATTGTTCATATAAATCCTGGTTCAGACCTAATTTACACCTGGTTCAGTCCTGGTTTAGACCTGGTTTAGTCTTGGTTTAGACCTGGTTTAGACCTGGTTCAGACCTGGTTTAGACCTGGTTCAGACCTGGTTCAGACCTGGTTTAGACCTGGTTTAGACCTGGTTTAGACCTGGTTCAGACCTGGTTTCAGAGAGACCTGGTTTAGACCTGGTTCCTGGTTTAGACCTGGTTTAGACCTGGTTTGGTTTAGTCCTGGTTCAGAGAAGACCTGGTTTAGACAGGTTTAGTCCTGGTTCCTGGTTCAGACCTGGTTTAGACCTAGATTGGTGACAATGTGCCCCCTCCCCCCCCACAAAATCACAAAAACAAAAAGAATCTGCGGTTTGAGTCTGTCCGCGTCAAACACGACTGACGTCACCAGAGGGCGCCGCCACCGTCCTCACCCGCAAACTTGTCATGTGAACACTTTAAATTTAAATCTGGGGAGGGACTTTTTTTTTTTTTCCATGGGGCCACAAGAGAAACAGAAAATAACTCAACTTAACTCACTTCTGCAGAATATTCATTGTATTTCTTTATTAAAAAAAATAATAATATATATATATAATAATATATATATATATTAATAATAATAATAATAATAATAATAATAATAAAATAAATAAATAAAATAAAAATAAAAATAAATACATACATACATACATACATAAAAAGTAGAAAAATCAGTAAATGTAGAAAAATCTGTAAATCTCATTGTTGTGTTGAGCTGCTCAGACTGGAAAAAGTTGATGTTCTGACTAAACAAAGAAAAAGTGAGGTTGTCTTATAAAAAAAAAAAAAAAAAAAAAAAACCACCTAAAATAAAAGCGGCTGCAGCTTTAGTTCATGCATGAGGTAAAATGATAAAATATGTTTATTTTATGATTCCATATGAGCCTGGCCGTATTTGTCCCAGATCTGATTTAAAACATTTAGTCCAATCTCCTCCTGATTTTATCCAAACAGAACCTCTGCAGATCCACCACAGACACAAATCCTGCATCTTCCACAAGAAACTCACACATTTCCAACTGAAATAATGGATTTTTTTTTTTTTTTTTTTAAGTAGACCGACACAAAAAGGTGCATCATGTCACTTTTCGTGCTTTTCTCCAGGGAGATGTTTTTGATTTGTCTGGAATGATGCTTCAAAGTTCAAAGTTCGTTTTACGGTCAGTTTCTTCACGTGTACGAGACACATAAAAGAATCAGAAATGATGTTTGTCTCTGTCCCACACGGAAACAAAAAAATAATTCAGCTAAAAACTCAAGTCCAGAGACCAGAGCTGCTCAAGTCAGATCAAGGAAAAAAACAGGTGCACAGAGGAAAGTGAAGGAAGAAGTCTGGATATTTACAAACTGTTTAAACCGAACTATCTCTCTTTCTTTTCTTTCTCTTTTTTTTTTTTTTTTTTTTTTTTTCCAGGCATCTGTGTCTTTAAAGCCACACTGCGGAACATTCTCCACCGCAAAAACTGGAAAATCTCAGAGTAAAATATTCCAGAGTTGTTTTAAACTCAAAAAGTGTTATTTTAACTCTTTTAAAGTTAAATGTGTGTTGGAGTTGGGGTGATTTACCAGAGTTGATTTGGTTGAAGTTAATTTAACTTCTCTTAGTGTTGATTTGTCTCCACCACCACTTCAAACTCCTGTGAGAGTAGAACCAGTTTGAACCAGTTTTGTAATTTCATTTTAAATAAACTCAAATAAAGTGAGAATAACTCTACAAAGTGTTATCTGTTTACTCTCTAAATGTTCATTTAACTCTGGATTTAGGGTTAAACAGGAACTTTGGTCCAGTTTTACTTCATGAACAAATGTTAAATTAACTCTAGAACAGAGTGACTCAGATAAACACTGAGAAAATGTTAAATTGATTCTGTGAGAGTCAATTTTATAACTCTTCACTTTTAGTTGTGCAGTTCAAACATCTCCATGGAGACGAGCAGGTGCGGACTTCCCTATGAGAAAAGTCCCGCAGTGCGCTTTACAGGACGTGTCTTCGTGTTTGATGTTCTCTCTTCTGTGACCTGCGGGAGTCTCGCTCCTGCGGCTGCGCGGATCCGCCCGCGGAGCTGCGGGGCCGGGGTGAGTCCGGGGTTAAGCCGCTGTGGAATGACCCTCATCCCCGGAGCCGCAGAACAGGTCCGGCCACGGCGCGCGCGCGTGGGAACCTGCGCTACACGACACGTGCACGACACGTGCACGACACGTACACGACACGTACACGACACGTGCGCGGAGATAAGGCGCGTCTTCACCCCCCACCTCCACCTCCTCACCAGTGACAGAGCGCGTGCTTGTGTGCGCGCGCGTGAGAGTGCCCGGGGCCTCGCCTCACACGGACACGCGCGTCATCTTAACCTAGTGACGTCAGCAAGTGTGGCGTCTGATTCTGAGCTGTAGCTGCGCAGAAATCGGAGCGCGGCTCTGATCCCCGCGACTCAACCGGACTGATGCTCGACACGTTCAGACACATTTCACTTATAAAACATGTCACAGATTTATTCAAACAACTTGTGACGTCACCAAGACAGAAATTATTAAAAAAAATCAAACTATGAGCTGATTTAATGCATCTTTGTGAATTCAGCTCATTTAACTTGTGACGTACAGACGTGGACAAAACTGTTGTTCCCTCTTGTGAAGAAACAAAAATCAACAATGATCAGTGTTATTTTTAAATATATATAATTTCTGTCTCGTGATATTTCCCCTGGATGATCATGATGACGTCACAAGGTGTTTGAACAAAAATCTGTCATTTACATCACGAGTCAAATAAATAAATGTGTCTGAATGTGTCGAAAATCAAAACCGCGGAGCTGCGATCGGAAACAAATCAGAGCAGATTTATGTTTTTATGATTGTTATTATTTATGAATAATATTAAAACATTTCCTGGAGTCAAGCGCAACAAATAATCTGGTCTTTTCCAAACCAACACGTTCCTCACGCGTTACACTCTCACGGTTCGTTTGGTTTCTGTGATTTATCCTGGTTTGTCTAAGAGGCCGTGCACTTGGATGATGCGCGCCCCTGTGGCTCGTGCGCGCGTTCAGCTAAAATGAACAAAGAAATAAAATAAAATAAAAATCACAAATATTCGCGTCACGGAGCTCGGTAAAGAGAATTTATGTGGATGTGACTGGCCCCAAATCAAATATCCGTCCTGATGTTTCCATTTTTTGTCCTGATGTTCCTTTTTACTCGTTGCTGGAGATGGAAATTTGAGTCTAAACATAAATAAAAATAAAAATGTTCTTACCTGATCGTGGACGCGGGACGAGGAGCTGCGCGTTTGGCACATTTGGCGCAAAGGTTCTTGAAAAAGCGCACGGGAAAAACCTGCGTGTCCTTGTGAGATGTGGCTCCTCGTTGCGCAGATACGGAGGAGACGTGTGCGCGCGCTGTGCCTGTCCCTTCCGTGCGTGTGTGCGTGCGCGCGTAGACCTGGTTCAGTCCTGGTCTGGTCCTGGTTTCGTTTCAGTTGAGATTTTCTGGTTTGGTTCTGGTTTGGACCGGATTTAGTCCTGGTTTTAGACTTTTCTGGAGATGCGCGGATGCGGGGATCATGACGCACCGCGCGCCACCACAGACGTGCGCGCGCTCTGCTTGTCCGTGCGTGCGTGTGTCCGTGCGCGCGTGTAGACCTGGCTCAGATCTGGTCTAGTCCTGGTTTTGGAATCTTTTAAAATGAGACGGAAGAGGTTTTTTATGTCTTTTTACGTCCTACAGACCTGATTTAGTCCTGGTTTAGACCTGGTTTAGTCTTGGTTTAGTCCTGGTTTAGTTCTTGGTTTAGTCCTGGTTTAGTTCTTGGTTTAGTCCTGGTTTAGTTCTTGGTTTAGTCCTGGTTTAGTTCTTGAGTTAGACCTGGTTTAGTTCTTGGTTTAGTCCTGGTTTAGTCCTGGTTTAGTTCTTGGTTTAGTCCCTGATTTAGACCTGATTTAGACCTGGTTTGGTTCTTGGTTTAGTCCTGGTTTAGTCCTGGTTTAATCCTGGATTGGTTCTTGGTTTAATCCTGGATTGGTTCTTGGTTTAGTCCTGGTTTAGTTCTTGGTTTAGTCCTGATTTAGACCTGGTTTAGTTCTTGGTTTAGTCCCTGATTTAGACCTGATTTAGACCTGGTTTGGTTCTCGGTTTAGTCCTGGTTTAGTCCTGGTTCAGTTCTTGGCTTAGTCCTGGTTTAGTCCTGGTTTAGTCCTGATTTACACCTGGTTTAGTCCTTGTTTAGACCTGGTTTAGTCCTGATCTAGTCCAGTCCTGGTTCAGTCCTGGTCTGGAGAGTCCTGTCGCGCGCACACGCGGGTCTTGACGCACCGCGCATCCCCCCGGACGTGCGCGCGCTCTGCCTGTCCGTCCGTGCGTGTCTCCGTGCGCGTCTCCATCGGTGCCATTTCTCTGCGTACATCGCCGAACCCCGCACCCGAACACCGAACCAGAACCAGAACCCCGCCCCGGGCTGCTCCGCTCCTCCACACCGCGCGTCAGCCTCTGGAGCCGGTGTCCAAACTCGGAACTGTCCCCTGGTCCCGTGCGTAAAGACTGCGGATTTTTCCAGGTAAACGTCACGGCGTCACCGCACTCGCGACAAAAGCACGA